ATCAGACCTCCACCCAACGCTGGCACAAGACGGATGCTCCGCAGAGGGTCTCACAGAGGCTCTGGCCTGGGGAGCAACGGGCAGGAGGACCCCCACAAACATGGGAGGGGCACGCAGAAGGCAGCAAGGAGCTTGTGCTCCACGAAGGGGAGAGGCGAGTGCTCTGTCCACCTGGCTCCATGATTCTGGAAGCCAGAGTGTGCTCTCCCCAGGCAGGGAACAGAACAGAACCCTACCTTCTCCAAGGACCCTGATCAGCCTAAGAGAAAGACCCCGAAGTCCTAGGGCTCCAGGGTTTCCCGAGAAAGTGGGCCGGGCAGATGCCCCAGAGCAAAGGCCAGAGTTCACACTGCACCAACTGTGCGAGTGGGCAGCCAGCAGATTGGGCACGGAGGACATTTACTGTGACGCACAGAAAATACCCTGGACACAGATTTCACAGGGAAAGAAAACTTCAGGGGGAAAAAAAGGAGACCGATCCAGAAAGTGCAGCACCTAAGGAACAGAAGGCTAGAGAATATCAAAGAATCCAAACTCCAGTCGGAAGCGCTGGAATTTCCGCTTTGGAAGGGCCCACTGCCTGCCTAGTGTGACAGATGAAGAGGGATCTACACCAGGAACACTGGATGGGAAGCTTCCACACTCTGGGACGAGGGGGAGATCCTTCAACCGCCAGAAGCAAAACTGGCCCCACAAAGGACCGCAGTAGAACAACTACGCAGAATTGTCTACGGCAACAGCGTTAAGTGAGGAAATGAACAGGGTAAGTGCCCAAATGAAGAATTCAGAGCCTGGCTGCTACCTCATGCCGCTAAGCCAGAGGAAACCAAGAATGAAGATCCGGCGAGGTACACGGCCTCCATTTGTGTATCTTCCACAGTCCTTCTCGGGGAGCAGCGGGGGCATGGGCCTCCCCACACATCAGGGAAAAACTAAGAAAAAAAACACGACACAGAAAGTAGGGAAACTTGGATCTAGCCTTAAGAGAAACACGGACAGAATCGCTCAGCTGTGTCCTCAGAGAGACGAGCCCCGGAAGGCCTGTGCAGGGACCCCACTCGTCTCCAGGGCGGGGCGGGGGCGGGGGCGGGCAGCCAGACAGGTGGCAGCGTAGCAATGGGGCCGGTAGCCCATGCTCAGCCTACACCGTGCCGAACCAGCTAACGATGCCCACGACTACAAGGGAATAAGACAAACCCGAGACACGGCAGCGCACACACCTGGAGAAAAGGACGGACCCCAAGCGACCAAGACTGGTGAGGAGAATGGGGCCTGCTATTTTCACTGGCATGATTTACTCCAAGTGAACAAACGTACAACTCTCACGAAGAACGCTGCAAGGTCAAATTGTATATATCCTTTTACGTTTCACTAGGAGCAGCTAATAAAAGCGCACCTTAACCAAACGGTTCTAGAAACCACATTAGCTCTTCGCTTTGGGAGAAAAAGTATGAAATTCCTATAGAAGCAGCAGATCCTAGCAGAGACTCTAATATTTAGAAAATACGTTCCCGTATCTGTAAAAGCCCATGCCGTCCACTACTCGGGGAAAGCACTGACGTCACTAAGGTTTCATCTGTAAGCCGACGATTAGGACTACGGATCATAGTTAGATAATGGACCTTTCCCCCCTACGGAAAGAAATCCCCATTCACAGAGTGGACAGAATTTGTCCTCACCTTCTCTTTCTTCCGAGGATGACAGCTACACTCTCAATCAATGTGCTCACCAACCACCACATCTGGGATCTCTCCCTTTTTTACCGGTACTGGTTTGTTACAAAGTGGGCACACTGGGGCCCGAACGTCCCAAAAATAATGATATAAAATCATATTCCAGATTCAGACAAAACTCACAAAAGGAAAAGGTATAGTGCATTGAAAATCAAATAGAGGACAAGCATGGATGTTCCGACTGTTCATTAGAAGACGGCGTTGTTACCACTGAGGATGAATAGTAAGGCTTCTCTACAGATTCAGGACAGAAAGTGGAATCCAGTAGAATTTACACCTAACAGACTGTTAACCAGCTGTGGACACGACCCTGAGACGGTGAAAGGCAGCCAAAGAAAAGCTGGTGAAACGGATCTGGTCTCAGGGCAGCAGGGCCGTTCATCCAGCACCGCCCTGGCAGGTGGGGAGCCAGCCCGCACACCTCCGGAACATAGAGAACGGAAGAGAACACTACCGTGAACAGCCTCCGGCTCCCTTCAACTGCCAACAGCCCGCCTGATCCTTTTGTGGCTTTCAGCCGCAGGGAGATGCACGCGGCTGACTGGAGAGCCCACAGCTAGGCTGAGCTCTCAGGTTCATTAACAGCCACCCAAGCAGGCGGTGGGGGAGGGGCTCTATAGGGAAGAACCAAGCGCCCAGCAGATGCGCACCCAGCAGTTAAAAACCTCAGAGCCAGGGCAGGAGCTAAGGAAACTAAGCTCAGCAAGAAAACGGATGGACGTGACAACTGACATCCAAACGTGTCATCACAGAGTGAGGAGGCCTGCCGTCTGGGTCAAGCCGCAGGGTCGCCAGGAACACTCCCTCAGTTGACAACTCTGTGCCAAATAAGGCATTACTACTGATGTCTAGCCAGACTCTCCCTATCTAGGGACGTGGGGAGGTCAAGCCAACAAATCAACTGCATAGTTTGGCCTAGTCATCGGGGCCTGGTAAATAGAAGTCACCCTCCCCCGCCCCCCCAATGACCTAGAAAACACTGGAAGGTCAGACCCCAGCCAACACTAATGAAAGCATGTAATAATGCTCATAAGTCATTCACCTTTCTAACTGCCACCTCAAGGAAGCAACACTCGGGCTATAGAGTTCACTAAAATAACCTCTGAATCGGGCACCTGAGCAGCTCAAGCGGGGGCACCTGATGGGTTCGAGCTCCACACCGGGCTCTGCACTGAGAGCGTAGAGCATGCTTGGGATTGTCTCTCTCTCTCTGTCTCTCTCTCTCTCTGCGCCCTTCCCCTGCTCATGCTCTCTCAAAATAAATAAACTTAAAAAAAAACCTAAACCTCAGAACCACCAAAAACAAAACGAATACAGGTCAAGAGCCACCTGCAAAGCCAATAACAAGGTGTCACTCCTTCGGACTCATGCACGTGGGTCTTCTTAGAGTCCTCGTCTTCCTGTTTCTACAATATACTATTTGCCACTAAACAGCGGCCGTGAAGTCACCCAAATAAACTAGCATTTTTAATGGCTTCCAGATTAGGTTCTTTGTCAGATATTAAACATTTCTGGTGCTTCACAAAGACACCACTATGTTCTTCCTTAGCATGATGAATCAAAGGAACGGAATATTTTCTCACGCGAAATAAACTTTCAAGGTTTGGATACAACAATTTGACTTCAAGAGCCCCTGAAAATAAAATCTGTTGCTTTAGAGCTGTGCCATCCAGACATTCTTGTGATGGTGGAAACATGCTGTATCTGCACCACCCATGGCCATACATGGTGGCCGAACACCTGGAATATGGCCAGTCTGAGGGCAAAACCAGATTTTAAGTCTTACTTCATCCGAATGAGATTATTAGTTCTATGTGGCAAATGGCTACTATTTGGACAGCATAGCTTTAGACAACAAAAGCTAGAATCTTTGAAATAAAATACGATCGATTACCTTCTCGAACGCAAATGGACATTTATGTGCAGCACAAGTAAAATGGTCTTTATGGAAATCTTGTTTACACGCATCGCATTGTAACGGAAGAAAATCTAAAAACAAACACCAAAAAGACAATGAAGTGTTCTAGAGATTAGGATGAAAAAATTATAGATTACGTTAAACAGGTATTTACGTACGGTCAGTTCTTTATGCCTATCAAATACATCTTTGAAGTACCACAGGTGAGAAAAAAATTGGGGACCATGACTTTCACAATGACAGCGGTTCTGAAGAACCTAACCTGTGAAGCTGTCTTTTCAAAAGAACCCCATCCCATGTAGTCCCACAAATATTTAAGCAGCACACCTGTATCCACCTGGCCTTGGCCCTGGTTCCTGGCATTCAGAAGAGGCTACGTAGCAACGGTGACCAGAACCTGGACCTCAGGCCAGCCTCCCGACACTGAAGAGCTAATTAGAAAAACGGCCAGGGGCGCCTAGTGGCTCAGTCGGTTGAGTGTGGCCAGATTTTCAGTCACCAGCGTTCCTTAACTTCCAGTTGATGAAAATGAACAGACTTGCTCTGTAGGAAGCCTTCGGTGTGCAAGTGACCCCTGGCCCCTGCAGGGGACTAAAGCGTCACAAATTCTTGCCGAGACACGAGGCGTTTC